GCCTTTGATCGGGTGGAATGGGGTTTTCTTAAGAAAGTTCTCCATAGGTTTGGTTTTGGATCATATTTTAATAGTTGGGTTGAGACTATCCAAATCCTATGGCAGCTGTTCTGACAAATGGGGTTGTATCAAAACCGGATTGTTTTGACATAGACATGTGTATGGTCAAGGAAATTGTTGAATATATAGTTGTTCCCTTCACTTATGTTTGTAATCTTTCTTTTCTCAAAGGTGTCTTCCCATATAAAATGAAGACTGCAAAAGTCATACCCATCTTTAAGAGTGGAGATGAACATCTGTGTACAAACTATAGGCCAATATCATTACTGCCACAATTCTCGAAAATTCTAGAAAAAATCTTTATAACCAGACTGGATTCCTTCATTGATAATCACCATTTACTTTGCGAGCAGCAATATGGCTTCAGATCAAACCGGTCCACCTCTATGGCAGTGATGGAACTGGTGGAGGAGGTAACAACCGCAATTGATAAAGAGCAATTTACGGTTGGTGTTTTCATTGACCTTAGCAAGGCCTTTGATACCATAGACCACACATTACTTTTAAAGAAAATGGAGAGATATGGTGTCAGAGGTGTTGCACATGATTGGTTGAGAAGTTATCTTGGTGGCAGAGAACAGTACGTCCATAAAAACAACATAAATTCTGATAAAATGAACATAACTCATGGAGTTCCTCAAGGCTCTGTACTGGGACCCAAACTGTTTATAATGTAAATAAATGATATCTGCAGAAGTTTTAAAAAAACTAAACTGCATTATGTTTGCTGATGATACGAGCTTGTACTGTTCTGGGCAAGATCTTTGGACAGCTCTTTGAGAAACTGTAGAGTCGGAACTTTCCCAACTAAAAGAATGGTTTGATGATAATAAGCTGTCAATCAATTTGAATAAAACTAAGTATATGATTTTTGGAAATAAGAAAATCAACACTCAATGTCACATAAAAATTGGCGATAGGGAAATAGAAAGAGTACACACAACTAAGTTTTTAGGAATTCATATTGATGAGAAAATTAATTGGAAGCTACACATAAATGTAATGAAAACAAAGTTGTCAAAAATTATAGCAATGTTTGCACAAAGTAAAATACTCTGTAAACCAAAATGCACTTAAAATGTTGTACAACACTTTCATACTTCCATATCTCAATTATTGTGTCAAAATATGGGGAAACAATTTCAAATCCAACGTCCAATCAATTGTTTTGCTCCAAAAGAAGGCTGTCAGAATAGTTAATTATGCAGATTTTTATGCTCCTACAAACGCCCTCTTCATCAAATTAAAAACATTAAAATTTCATGACCTTGTTGACCTAAACACTGCGATTTTCATGTACAAAGCCCATAACCACCTGCTCCCTCAGCGCATACAGGAGAGGTTCAAACCTAGAGAGAGTCCTTATGAATTAAGAGGTGTGTATGTCTTTAAGAAACCAAATGTGAGAACCAGTTTAAAAAGTAGATGCATCTCTGTCAGGGGGGTTCATCTTTGGAATGGCCTGGATGAGCCACTCAAATGTTCCACCTCAATTCACACATTTAAAAAGCGCTTTAAGGCTATTGTTGAAGAAAAGTATAAATCACTAGAATAATAATAATAATAACCTGTGTGTATCCAGGTACAGGTATAGGTGTATGTTTGTATGTGTGTGTATGTATATATATATGTATATGTATGAATGTGTGTATGTGTATTTAAATCCATGTATAGATATATATATATTATATACATAAAAGGAAGAAAATTAAAATAAATAAATAATAATAATAAAAAAATATATATATATATATATAGATATATATATCTATATATATATGTCATACTATGTGTTTATGTATATAATGTGATTACAAGGAATATTTCTTTGAATTAGTACAAACTATTTATTTTCTTACAGTATTTCCAAATACAATTTTCATTGTAAGCTCTGTGGATCCGCTACATTGTATATAATTTTGTTACATTTGTATAAGTAAGAAATGTAATTTTGTTATTTGTTAATAGGGTTAGGCGAAATAAGTGTTAAACTTCAGCCTAACCCTTTCGGTCAGTATATAATTTATAATTTGTGAATGTCAAATGTTTTCTTATTTTCTGCTGATGGCCGAAGAATAAACGAATATATATATCAGACCCTTTCCGTTTGTCCAGGGGAGTGAGGCAACGATGTAGTTTGTCACCACAGCTTTTCACAATTTTTTTGGAGCCCTTGGCCCTAAAAATTCATGCAGAGGCAAGAATCAAAAGGTGTTAAAGTGGGTGGGAGAGATCATAAACTTTTTCTCTATGCCGATGACATACTGGCAGTATTAGAGGACCCGGAACACTCTTTACCAGCTCAACTTGAATGTGTTGACTCTTTTTCCAGGCTGTCAGGTTATAAGATCAACTGGAACAAGTCTGAGGCTATGCCTCTTAATGCATCATGCTACTCTACATTCATTACTCCATTTAACTTTAAATTTATACCATCTGGAATGAAATATTTAGGAATATCATTAAACCCGAACTTAGAAGTGATAATACAAACAAATATGAAACCACTCCTTTTGAAAATTAAAACAAATTTTGATAAATGGGAAAAATTAAGACTAAGCCTGTGGGGTAAAATTAATGTGATTAAAATGGTAGTTGCTCCTCAGTTCAATTATATTTCCATGATGTTACCAGTGAAAATACCAGTGGAAGTATTTGGTCCATTCAATAGAATTATCAGAGATTTCTTGTGGGACCAAAAGAGACCCAGGATTAATATAAAAAAAATGTGGGCCTCGAGAGAACTTGGAGGCATGTCCTGATGTGACACTTTATAATTTAGCCTTTGAAATGTCAAGAATAGTGAAACACTGGACAAAAGGAGATCCACAGCTAAGCTGGGTTAAGATCGAGGAAGAATTGGTGGGTCCTTTTACTGTATTGGACGTTTTATCTCAAACAACGGATGCCAATGGCGTGGACTTACAGGACAATCCAGTGCTCATGTACTCAAAACATGTATGGAAAGAGGTTCACAGACTGTGTGGGGAATCTCATTTGAGACAACAGTATTCATTATGGCATAACTCAATTTTACGCATAGGTAAGAGAACTATTTATTGGAGGGAATGGCTTGAGAAGGGGATTCATACAATCAGTGATCTTTATGAAGATGGTTTGCTCATGCAATTTGATGTAATAATTCAAAAATTTGGTCTGGAGAGAAGGGGAAACTTTTGGAAATATTTACAATTAAGAAACTATTATAAATGGAAAGTACACTCAAAAATCAAATCCAGTTTTGGAGTTTTGTAAACTATCTGAGGGAACCCACAGAGCGGCTCTTTTTTATAAAATATTTAATAATCTAAGAAAAAATATGTGTGAAAATCTGAGAGTAATTTGGCAAAGAGATTTGGGATGTGATATTGATATAGAAAAATGGGACAAAATACTCTTGCACTCGGGAAGATTTATAAAAGAGGCGAGAGGAAAATTCACACAATATAAATGAATACATAGGTGGTATCTCACACCTACAAAACTTAAAAGGATGGGGATTATGGCAAATGACAAGTGCTGGAAATGTCAGATACAGGGACATTTATACACAGCATATAGGAATGTCACAAAGTCTTCCCATTTTGGGAAAAAGTGCTGGATTGTATAGAGGAGTGGATTGGTAAAACAATACCAAGGTCACCCTAACTATGTTTACTCAGGGATCAATCGGTTATGCCCGGAATAACCAAGTGTGAATATATTGTTTTGAAGGGTGGGGATTCTTTGTGTCTGGAAACACCCCTCTCCTCCAGATTTTAGAAAATGGATGGACAAGATACAAAGAGTGGTTTCACATGAAAAACTATTGGCCAGGCTAAATGACGATTCTGATATTTTTGCAAAATCTTAAGGGCGAATTTTTGAATAAAATTTGAACAATGGAAAGCCACTTTTTGTAGAATATGTGCCATATAGATATGGCACATATGTATATATGGGTATCTTTATTTTGTTTTATTATTATTATTATACCTTGCGCCCAAGGAATATTTAGAGATACTGCTGAGATCTGTATGTCTGATGCTTATGTTGTTTATGTTGTTAAAGTTGGAAAACAAAATAAGTTTAATTACAAAAAAAAATGTTTAAAATCAACTTAAAATGCACAAGGCATATCTTTTTTAACATAATTTATGAAAGGCAACATAAGGCGGCACATCATCTTGACTGAGATTTCCACATTACATGTGCAAAGCACCCCGTCTGTGGGCCCAGTCCAGCCTCATTCACTGCATTTATTTAATTTTTGGCATTATCAGTTGTGACTGGGACATTAGTGCTGGGCCTTTGTCTTCCATTCCTCCGCTGCTTGTGTGCTACCTGCCCAGGATGTGTGCCTGTGTGACTTTCGTAGAGGGGGCGTGTCTGCAGAACCTGACTCTTCATCTCCCAGTCTGCGGTGATGAAGTGAGCGGTTATTGTAACATAGCTCTCCGTCCCGCTCATAGATCTATTATAGGTTCCGCGGGACGGCCAAGCGTCAGTCGTGAGCGCATGAGGATGCGTGGGAGAGTTGACTTTAGCTCGGTCTGACTGTGCGTAAAGGAGCTGCTTAAACGCAGCTGCAATAAGCGGTTGTTGAGAAGCCTTTTTTCACTCATGTCTTTCTTGTGCCAGTGTTTACACCGTGACAGTTTTGCCAACTAACCTTATTCCATCATCAGCATAGTTAGAGGGAAGCCAAAATGCTCCCATACAGGGGATTTAAATGACGCGGGGCTTTCAAGCTCCTCCGTTCCTGACTACGCCGTGTGTGGACTGAACAACATGCGCACAACTTTTTCTTCCATAAATCAAACCGGATCACGTGTGTACCGAACCGAAGACGTTGATCCGAACGGATCAGTGATGAACCGTTGCACCTCTATTGTAAACACTAATACTTGAGGATAAAAGGTGGTTCCTGATGGCGCCTGAAGCAGCAGAAAGGCCCTCACCTCTGCCACCTGGTCCTTAGTGGCCCTAACGCTCTGGATCTCCTCCTCTTTGGCCGCAGCCTGAGTTTTCTGCACCTCCTCCTCATTCTCCTTCTCAAAGAACTGGCTCTTGGCACGCTCCTCCAGGTCAGCGATCTCCTCAAATTCAATCCAGTCCTGAGACAGAGACAAAACTTAGGACCACATACTCTTATGTGCGGACTGACAGAAAAGGTGGGGGGAGGCGTACCGTGAGCCCGTAGTACCAGCGGCGGTACGTGACCTTCCGCGCGGCCTGCTTCCCCGCATGGTTCTGTCTGAAGTGCCAGTCCAGGTGGTCGGCGTATAGGTCGGTCTGCGCTGCCGTGAAGCGCATACTGCACAGACAGCACTGGTTCCCCGTGTAGAGGCGCGTCACCACGCTGTCATAGCGACTGCGGAAAGAGGGAGGGGCATGTGAACAGAGAGGGAGGGGCATGTGACCAGAGAGAGGACCATGTGACCAGCGTGAGGTGTCTACAATAAAGGCGTGACCCATGTAAAGGGAAATGGACATATGACCTACTGTTTCATAGGGTCCAGTCTGAAGCTGGTGAGGTCGGGCAGGTCGTCCTCTGATGGCTCCTCTTCATCCTCCTCTTCCTCCACCACAGGGGCCACAGCGGGGGGCAGAGCGGGAGCTCCTGATAAACAACCAATAGTCATTTTCCAAGCCTTCAAACAGTTGAACAAGAGAGCGGCCCCTCAGTCAAGTTACCTGAAGTTGGTCCCCGGTCCTCAGGCTGAGACGCTTTGATGATTCCATTGGAGACGAGTTTAGACAGAAGGTCGTTCACATCGACCTGCCCAAAGTGGTTCTCAGGGGCCAGAGGAGCTGAGGAGACAGGAGGTTCCGGATTAACTTTAATGTCTCATCAGTTTAAGCCTAGTGTAAACTCGCGTGGCGCGGAGATGACGTGACGTCACTTGCTCAACGCGTTGCTCACCGCAAGGCCCTTACGTTGCCTGCCGCACAGTTTAGACATTTTCTGCCTACGTAAGGGTCGCCGCAAGGAAGCTCCGCTGTGATTGGTCCGTGTGTGTGTTTTGGGCGGAAGCATGAAGCGGCTGCAGCAGGGACAATGGACGAGGCATTTCAGAGCAGACTGCTTTGTGCTTCGAAGGAAAAGCAGTTTGGGCTCAGAGCCTGATATACAGGAGACTGTGGACTAGAGTTCTGTTGCATATCTAACATATATATAACTTATATCTAACATATATATAACTTATAAACTGTGCAGTCGTTTGTTTTGCACTGTTCCTGTCTTTGTTTTAATCGTAGCTTATCGCGTCTGTTCCATTCCTCCTGCACTTATAAATTGTTCAGGTTTGCCTCAGATATTTACCACATTTATTGTTTTGCTGTTTGTGCTGAATACAATTTATTAATGACTTTCCAACAAGAACTGTGTCTTTATTCACAACATCACAGTTAAATGAGTTAAGAAGTAATTAGTCCATAGAACTATCACATAAACCTACAGTAGAAACACATGTAATGATCTCGGTTTGTTCATGTTTTTGTTCTGAAGAGGAGAAAGTAGCAGCGTAAATGAGACCGCTTTGGTATCTCAGGCAACTCCTGTGAGATCGGCCATTATGTGGTTGGTTGTGGGATTACAAAATTCTCCTCAAAACTCCGCAAGGAGTGTAAACACAAATGTGGTTGCGCATGTCTACCGCAACCGCTATCGTAAGCCGCGCAAGTATACACTAGGCTTCGCAGTGTGTGAACAACACAACAGAATCCTTAACCCTTTAAGCGCCAGGTTTTTTTTTCTAAAACGCTCGAGTTTGACATCTCAATTTCATAAGGCTATAACTTAAAAGTGATAAGAGATAGCTTTCTGTAAATTAGAAAAATATTAAAGCTGCACTAACTGACTTTGGGATTTTGAAGCCACGGACTCGCTGGCCTCTCTTTCTGCTCCCCTCCCAGCACCCACGAGGCTATCACCCCCCACACACACCCACTGTTAGGACGGAGCTAGCGTCTCCCAATATGGATAATACATGGAGATGGATTTGCACGTGGATGGCGTGACCATAGAACGATAGAACTGGGAAGCGCGGAGGAACGAGACTTTCTTCTGGATGGCTGTTTCGCTGTGTAAGCAGTAACGGGTTACGAAGACACACGAAGCTTCAGGTTAGCTAACCTGAAGCTTCGTGTGTCTTTTTCACCGGTCAGAAGAAAGTCCGTGTGGTGTCAGGTGTGTGTGGTGTCTGTGGTGTGTGTAGTGTGTGGTGTGTGTATAGAGCAGGGGTCTCCAACCTGTAGCTTAGGAGCCACCAGTAGCTCGCCAGCCCCTTACAGGTAGCTCGCCAAAGGAATTAGAATCTAACAAATACACTTCAACAAATATTTTTTGTTGTGTTCTCTGAGTTTGGTTGCAATTATTAGATCAATTTTTATTACGACAGCAAAAAGGAGTAGCTCTCTGCCCGTTTGTTTGTATAACAGTAGCTCTCTGATTGAAAAAGGTTGGAGACCCCTGGTATAGAGTGTGTGGTGTCAGGTGTGTGTGGGATATGTGGTTAGGGACTGACCTGGAGGGAAAGGCACAGTGTTCTGAGGTATAAAGTTCTGGTTCATATTCATCATGTTCATCTGAAACATATATTTTTTTTTAAATAATTAACAGTGAAACAAACAAAACACAGTTAATATTAGAAAAAGTACATGAGGAGAGGGTCTTACCGGCTGCTGCAGGCCCATGCCAGGACCAGGACCCATCCCAGGACCCTGGGGGCCCATGGATCCGGGGCCCTGGTTGTAGAAGCCTCCCTGCGGCTGGGCGAAGGGTCCAGGTTGAATGAAGTTTGGTCCCTGGTACATGGGCCCTGTGGGAAAGGAGCCACCCATAGGCTCAGGGAAGTGCTGAGGGCCCATTTGGTTGGGGCCCATTTGGTTGGGGCCCATTTGGTTGGGGCCCATTTGGTTGGGGCCCATTTGGTTGGGGCCCATGCTGTTGGGGCCCATGCTGTTGGGGCCCATGCTGTTGGGGCCCATGCTGTTGGGGCCCATGTTGAAACCCTGCTGAGGGCCCATGGGGCCGTCAAACATGGGCCCCAGGGGCCTCATGGGCTGTTGTTGAGGGAAACGAGGTTCAAAGCGCGGACCGTCAAACCCAGGTCTGAGGAGAGGCACGATCAGTGAATTCAATGAAATCAGTGAAGGGACTGCAGCTGCTGCTGATACTGACCTGGGTCCTGGGCCGTCGAAAGGCCCCTCATATCTGGGTGGTCGGTGCTGAAAGCCCATTGGCCCCATGAAGCGCTGGGGCCCTTCAAACCTCTGCATAGGTGCGTCAAAACGGGGGCGTGGCTGGGGGCCGTCAAAGCCTCTCATTGGCCCCCCATGCGTCATGTGATCAAAGTGCGGGTCTGAGGCATTGAAGTGCGGCTCCTGATAAGAGCGGGGGCCACTGTCCCTGAAGCCCTGCTAGAAAAGAAAAATTAGGAATACTGCCACCACATGGTAGAAGTGGAACATGACATTCTTTTATAATTGTCGCAAACAAGAACGAGTGAAGGCAGCCGTGAAGGCTCCTCAGAACACGAGGACGGCGAGAGGAGACGTGGACATTAAAAAGCTGAGATGTTAGCGAGCTGTGATGTCACAGGGCTTAGAAGACATCAGCTCTGTGATTCTCAATACACTATCTTAATCTGCTGCAATTGTTAGCACATCACTGAGGAAACGGATGTTTAAGTAAAAATATTTTTGCGCCAAAGACCGAGGATGAGTGATGCTTTGACACTGCTGCACAGAGCGGTGTTTATTCTGGAGGGACTTACCTGAGGCCTGGGCCCTGGTCCATCTGGACGGGCCTTCAGGATGGACTTGGGCTGCATGTTCTGGAGGCTCTGGGCAGTAGGTGGTTGGTGCAGCAGAGCCTCTCCATCCTCAGAGTGCTCAGAGTTGGGGCTCTCGAAGCGGGCCACTGGGCTGGACTCTGGCTGCTCTCTGGGGAGGAGGGGCGGAGGCAAGGGGGAGAGGCGCTCCCGCTCAAACCTGAAACCAGAAAAGAAAACATTAAAAATAACCACGTCAATAAGTCATCCACCCTCATCCTCTGTGTTTAAAGAACGCAATACAGACCTGGGGGGCTCCTGGGAGGCCAGCTGAGGGGGCTCTGGTCGCCTTCTGTCATATCCACTCTTAACCTCATTGTCCAGACGCTGGCGCTCCGACAGAGGGGAGATCCACTCACGATCCGCTGAAGACAAACACCGGATTATAACGACCGACGTTCAGTTACACACGGACAAAGAACTACACATACCTGCTTCGCGAGGGTCCGCGCGCCTCTTGAACCGCAGCCCGGGCAGAGCCTTCAGAGGGGGGAACTCTCTCCCGTGGTTGTAGTCCTCGACCATAGGTCTTGAAGGCTCTTCATGCTCTTTACTCCTGCGGTCGGACTGAACACCTGCGGGACAGTGAGAGTTCAGTTATAGTGTTGTTCGAGTGTTCTATTGTGTTCCTAGTTACATTTTCAGTGGATGTGGTTGACCCTCACCTCTCTGCTGTTTCTCCTCCTGATACTGGAACAGGTTCTTGATCTTATGAGCCAGGTTCAGAAACTCCTCCTCAGTGATCTCTCCACTCTCCAGACGACGACTTGCCTGGAAACAGTGACCAAATAATCACCAAACAATCATCAAGCTAACCGAGCCGCCTGAAGGTTATGATTTGAATGCCATCTAGATATTTTCATCACTTTGAGTTGCCTTGCGTATGAATTGTACGGAAGGCTACAATTCAGATTTAAAGCGGACTCACCCGCCTCAGCAGGTCCTTCTTGGACGCAGAGTTGAGCACATCGGGGATCTGCAGGTTGGCGTCCACACTGAGCCGGTGTTTTGGTGTTCGCGGTGAGGTGTACGGTTTGTGCCGCTGAGCTGGGGATTTGTGCTGTTGCTCGTCCTTCCCACTGCACACAATATTATTACAGAGCTCAAAATCTGAGATTCAATGCAAAATTAATATTTATACAACAGGACTTGGAGGGGACTTTAGCAGAACTATGAGGGTAATACAATGTGGAACCATAAGAGAGGAGAGTAAGAAATAACTGTCCAGAAAAGCAGACCTTTAAGGTATCTACACCGAATTTTATCATAAAAATGCTTTTTACTACATACGAGTTGTATTATAATCCAATATAATTCAATTGAAAACTTGACCTCATTGACACAGCAAAACAGCCCAAAAGACAAAACAGTGAGGAAGAGAAGAGGGAACTAAAGCGAAAAAATGATCAAAGAAGAAACCAAGCCCGGGTGAACATAGCTAGCTTACATCGTACCCTCTGGAGAGACTTGTCTAAGGGAGAGACCTGCGGGACCGCCTCGGACTATCTATGCTCGGACCACATTCAGACGTCTAATCTTTCAGTTATATATTTTGTTAGCAGTGCGTTGCTTTTGTACCATTTCATCGGTGATTGATGAAATGCTAATGTTAGCATATAGATCGCAAATACAACTAGATGGCTCCGTGGGATGAGAGTGTTGGGGAAATGAGAAGCCTCTGAGCGAGTTGGGGAGGCGGTGCTAAACATTCAAACCTTGCAGAAACAGGTATAGCTCCTTTAAGGTATGTTTAAGAGCTGCTGACTCAGGAGTGAGTCTGTACGCACTGTTTGGTCTCCTCCCAGCTCCTATACCGGTGCTGCGCGTCCTTCGCCTCTTTGGGGTCGTGTCCTCGTGGAGGGTCTCTGTCATCAGGACGCTTGCGCCTGTGGAGGAACAGTTATTACTCTACAGCTTTAACACATCATGAAAGAGCATTTAAAACGCTGCATCAAGGCGTCTTTGGTGTGAATGGTTAACCGCCACAATGGAATGATCTTCACCTGTTTCCGTCGCTGAGGGTCTTCTTCAGCCCCTGGAGACTGTGGTCCTCGCGGCTTCGTGCTCGCTGGTTCTTGGCTGGTTTGTGTGAAGGCGGGGAGCTGCTTCGTCGTTTGGGGGACCTGCTCTGGGCTTTGTGAGGAGGAGGAGATCTGCTCTGGGCTTTGTGAAGAGGAGGAGATCTGCTCTGGGCTTTGTGAAGAGGAGGTGACCTGCTCTGGGATTTGTGAGGAGGAGGAGGAGACCTGCTCTGGGCCTTGTGAGGCGGGGAGCTGCTCTGTCTTTTGGGAGAGCGCCGGTCCCGCTCTCGGCTGCTGGTGTGACTGGGCGACGTGTTGTCCGGGGATCGGGAGCGTTTTCTGGCATGTGTGCGGGCGTTTCCTCCCGTCTGAGGGCACAAGTAAGAGGTTAGTCATCATTTGACAAAAGCCAAAAGCATGAAGTCCAACAAGCTTCTGTCTGTATGGCTCTACAGAGACCCTGTGGTGACTGAATACAGAAGTGTCTCATCTTTCACATCGTTTAGATCAGGGGTGTCAATTATGCGGTTATTTGATACGGCCCACAGCTCATTTATGTAAAATAATTATAATAAAAATAAAATCTACGTCACCGCGCTCAGCAGTGGGTTGAGTGCCTCTGTAGTGGCTCCCACCAGAGCGTGTTCTGTGACTGACACTCTCAGCAAAACGTCTTTGTCAAAAAGGCGAAAATTGGACATCGACAGTCAGGGTTTTTCAAAAAAGTGGACTACTATTTCACTACTAGGAGTGATAATGGACTCAGACTTAAATTTCAAAAGCCACATAAAATCTGTAACATCAGCAGCTTATTACCACCTAAAAAACATTGCTAAAATTAAAAACATAGTGTCTAAGGCAGACTTGGAGACTCTTATACACGCTTTTGTCTCCAGTCGGTTAGACTATTGCAATGGCTTGTTCACAGGTCTCTCCAAACAGGCTGTAAAACAGCTGCAGTACATTCAACATGCAGCAGCTCGAGTCCTGACCAGAACTAGGAAGTGCGACCACATTAGTCCAGTTCTCAGGTCTCTGCACTGGCTTCCTGTTCCTCAGAGAATAGACTTAAAAGCAGCTTTACTTGTGTACAAGTCTCTCCATGGTCTCGCGCCAAGGTACATCCACGACATGTTTGTGCCATATGAACCGACCCGGACTCTGAGGAGCACAGGGACTGGACTCCTGTTAGTGCCCAGAGTCGGTACTAGACATGGGCAAACTGCATTTCAGATTCATGCGGCTAGAGTCTGGAACCGTCTTCCTGAGAATGTGAGACAGGCGTCTACTCTGGCATCCTTTAAATCTAGGCTCAAAACAATTCTGTTTAGCTGCGCATATACAACTGAATGATTTTATCTTTTCATCTTTGTTTTTATCTTTAATCTTTTTAATGCACTGTGACTATTTATGATTTTAGTCCCATCTGTGATTTTAATGTTTAAAGGTTTTTAATTTTTGTGATTTTATTTTTAATGTTTTTAATATATCTTGTGCTCTTAATGTGTTTGATTTATGCATGATGTGATAGGGGATGTGAAGCGCTTTGCGTTGCCTTGTGTAGGAAAGGCGCTATACAAATAAACGTTGATTGATTGATTGATATTTGTTCGCGGAGGAGAATTAAACACACGGTACGCTTGGTGTGCATGCAAAAAGTGGCTGTGCTGAAAGAATATCATCTAAAGCCTGGTTCACACGGCAGGATATTTAGGCCGATTTAGAACCGATTTACCCCTTACGACAATCTTAAGAAACGCTCCGATTTCCGTAACAAAATCTTACAGATTATCCTGCCGTGTGTGGTGTGTTAAGACTGCACTCGTCGCTCGGAAGGACATCGGGACTGCTCCCGATCTCAAATCGGGGATATCCAACATGTTGGATTGTTTTGGCCCGATTTCTTGTGTGTGGTGTCCTCCGAGGACAAGCGAGCGCGTTGCCATGACTACGGCGTGTAGCCAATAAGAAAGCGAGGTGACAAGCCGGTGAGGAAACACCGGAAAAAAACCAAAACACAGCAGCATGGCTTTGACCATTGCCTTTTCTTTGGATTACGTGTCTTCTCTGTTAACAACAAACTGCACACTATCGCCACTGCATCCTCTTCGTCCGCCATGACTGTTTACTCTGAAGTCACGCTTGATCTCGAGAGATTTTGTGAGATTTCCGTCTGACCTGGGAATGCTCGGTGGGGGGGGTGTCGGTTCGTGTGTGATGTTTGTGGCTTGCGTGATCTTGCCGTGTGGCTACGCACCACACACTGCACGACCAAAGTGGTTAGACGCAGGATTTTTAATCTCCCCGTGTGGGGTCTAACACGGAGAAAAATCGGCCGACAATTTTAAAATCGTCTCGTGTGAACCAGGCTTTAGACTACGAGACTCTGCGAAAAATGTGGCCATTTGAGCGGAGAATTGAGAAGACAGAAGATAAACGTGTCTGGCCCTGAGGAAACAGCTGTCTGTGCCCAGAGCAAGAGGTTAGTGATGCTGCTGTAAAGGGACTACCTGAGTGCTAACAACATAGCATTAGCATCGCAGCTGCACAGTGAGGGAGTTTGTTTAAACTCTCACAGGCTGCAGACTGTGTCCTGAGAAACAACACGCTTTTACCAACATGGTGTTGCCATTGATAAGAGACTGATGTTACTCTGTTTCCTCCAGAGGGGGGGGATCAGTCCCCCCCTAGCCATGGCCCTAGGGGGGGATATCCCCCCCTCAATTTTCTTAGACATGCATGTATACAATTCTCACATCAAAAAGTGCAATAACATTATTTTCATTGGGATACATCTGATCTGGCTCACTGTCTAATCTATAATCTAAAACATGATAGTAAAAAAAATACATAAAAACACCAAATCAGAAACTTCCATACAGGAAAATTGTGTTCTGAATCAGTCTCCTCAGCTGAATAGCGGTTCTCTTTTCGCGGTCTTGCAGATTTATTTTTTGCGTGATTTTCACTGTATATGAACTTGGTGTGGATTGGCTAAGGAAGAACCAGTGTATTGTGTTGTGCGTCCTGATTGGCTAAGGAAGAACCAGCGTAATGTGTTCTGCGTCCTGATTGGCTAAGGGGTAATCTCTGTGCCGTGTTTCCTGTATCACAGCATTCAGCCTGACAAATGTAAATCGATGTCTGATTGCAGTGTGACTAAGTGTTGTATGCTAATTTTCTCCTTGACAAAACCATGGACTAAACCCACAACATGGTTAGTGCTAAAAAGTTGAACTTCTGGACATGTTGCAACGATGACCGCAAAGAGGAGCACGGTGCGGAGCCCAGGCCATTGACGAGGGATTTTCATGCAGCACTAAGCCCATTTTTTTCAAAACATTTTACAATTTTGATTTCAAGATTTCAAAGAGTTTGAGATAAAGGCATTTTGTAAATGAGGACTATCTTCAGTATGAGCCAAACTTTGGGATGGAAGTTGATTCGTCATCTAATTTGCATATTGTGACGTCATCAAGGTGGTGGCCATTTTGGAAAATGTTTATTGTATAAAGATTTCAAAAAGCTGTAGTTTGAGAGTGTATTTTGAGATCAGGGAATACCATCAACAGTCTACGTGAAATATCTTTAGTATGAAAACACAATGTGGGATAGAAATAAATTCACTGATCAAATTTATATAGAATATTTTAGCACTGGTCCACGGCCATATGGAACTGTATTAGACCTTCAATGATCAAGATGGCACTGCTTATAGTTTACCAGTCATGAAATCTGCACTTTGTTTTCAATATTACCCTTTCAAAAGACCTGGTGGCATACAGTTTATCTCAGTGGAAATGAGGCTCCAGAATTCATCGTTTAGAAACAGAGCAATTAAATGAATGGGCTCAGAACTTGTCAGATTGTCTCAACAATAAACAACAGGCTCTTCAACATTTCTGATCCACTTTTATGGATTCTCTTCTCTAAAGAACTGCCTTCATCATCATCATCTCCGTCCGTAAAGGCAGATTAGCGGTGCGTTTTCTTCTGTGGCTTCTGCCACATTTCCCGCGTTCCCCGCGGTTGTTTATCCCCGCTGCATTCACCCACATGCCCAGTGTTATGACCCCCGTCCCCTTCACGTCTCCTGTCTGGTGTTCGCAGAATGTTTCCGAGGTCCGGCTTTTCGGAGTCAGCGGTAAAGAGGTCCGCACATTAACCCTATATGCTCGCGTGCATCGGCGCCGATGCACGCGCACATGTTTTACAAATGATCAATTTACTCGCGAACGGTAAAACGTAGCAACTTACTTTTTTTTCCTCTGTGAAGAACGTAATCAGGGCTTTCCGAAACTAGTTTTGATTTGTCTGTGCGATGCACGGAGGATAAACTACGTTTGTCTGCAAGTCTGTGTCCAAAGCGTGACCCGTGAGGTACAAACAGCTGTGAGATACAAACACACGGGGACTGCCAAAGATCGTCAGAGAGTGAGATGTCTCTCTCCTCTGCGTTTACTTGTTGTCCCACAGTTGAAACTACAGCTGCGATTGCAATAACCGGCTGAAGAGTGCGCATTATTGATAAAGACGATAATAAATACAGTAAAATGACATTATGTGTATATGATGTATATAAATATATGTATTATATAAATAATTTATGTTTTTTTTTTTTTTTGGCTCAGTTTTTTATGTTTTACGTTTTTTACAGCTGTACTACAGAAGCAACCCCAGCATTATAGACAAACTGCTTCAGGAAGGGCATCAGGAGTACAGAGTTTTTTGCTTTTATAGTGGAATTTTGTAAAAAGTATAATAGTTAGAGATTCAATTGTTTTCCCCATTATCCCCAAGTCTCTAAATAACATTTCTATGCAGTGTAAAAAGTTGTTTATAGCATTTCATTGTGTTTTTTCAATACATTTTTGTTAAATTGATTTTCCGTTTGATTTTTTTCTTTGTCTTTATGATTCCATCATTTTTATATAATTCATATGACAGCTTTACAATATGAATATTCTAAAACCCCAGGTTGTACTGAAAAAAACAAAGTATACTCCTTGACTCTGCATCAAAAGATGACTGTTTTATGAACAATTATACACAAAGAAAACCAGGCGAGGAAAGTTCCCCAAAATGACCCATGTGCATAGAGGGTTAAAAGCGGGTGGCTGCTTTATGTTAAAAAGTGCATTGTGGCGGCTCATCCCCACGTCTTCTCTTTCCAATGTTACTGTAATTAACAGCATAAAGCGGCTATCCGCTTTTAATGTGCGGACCGCTTTACCGCTGACTCCGGAAAGCCGGTCCTCTTTACCACGGAGTCACACGGAGGACGCAAACTGTGGGTGACTGGACTATTATGGCGCAGACTCCTGTCACTAATAATGTCTGTCTGCTTCACTGGACACCTGTGTGTCTTCCTCCTCTGAATCTGAGTGAGCCAGTACCAAATACTTCTGATCTCTGGAGACCTCTGGCTCTGCTCTGGCTCCGCTCAGAACTACGGCTCCTGCTTCGCTGCGCCGCAGGTGTTTTACAAACTCATTTTACTCTAATACTTTGAATATAACCATTCCCACAAAGGCCGCTCATATTAAAAAGGCACACATGTCCACTAACTCCTCGTGAAAAGTATTAACAAAAATTACTGCAATAAAGGTGTGTGATTATTTATTTATTTTCCTGGGGCTTTGGACCTCGAACCCTCCTCCACTCACAGAACGAGGAGCGAACAGGCCACGTCCACTAGCTTTAGCGCTGCTAAATACAGTACAACTCCTCTTGCTGTAAATGCAGACACAGCAAAACAGCCCAACAGTGAGGAAGAGAAGAGGGAACTAAAGCGAAAAAATGATCAAAGAAGAAATCAAGCCAAGGTGAACATAGCTAGCTTACATTGTATCCTCTGGAGGGATCTATGGGAGAGACCTGTGGGACCGCCTCGGACTATCTATACTCTGATTTCATTTTGATGCGGAACTAGCGGTGATTGTTGTACAGCTTACAATAAGTTGCGCTAATGCCAATGTAAGCATATATATCAGATTGCAAAAAAAAACTAGACCATCCGTACACTCCGGTCGATCATCATTTCACTGCATGTAACGTCTGGGTCTGGTCCCTGTGTTAGCGAATACAATCGCTTGAATTTCGACCGACCATTCAGAGAGCGCGGAAGGCGGGTGTTGTTTAGAAGTGGGTGATGTCAAGAGTTTGCGTCGAACGGGCAGGGAGTAGTTTGGCGAAGAATGCGACAGTAAAGTAATCCGGTCTGGTTCTATCAAGAAATTGAAGCCGGAGCAAGAGGAATGTTTAGCAAATGTAATCGCTGGTCAAGATTGTGGCGCTACTTCCAACCATAGACTGTATATATTAACGGACAGAGTCACGCCTATCTTCGCCGTTCTAACTAATGGGCCAAAAAATGTGCTCTACTGGAGCAATCCAAAATGGCCGCGAGTGGTCCCGCCCACAAGAAAATTGTGAAAAAACGCATCTGCGCATGCGTCAGCCGGCGCAACTCCATTCATTTGAACGAGAAACTTCAAAAATTCACAGCAAGTAAACTAGGCTGGTCCAAAACAATCCCCCCCTCCCTCAGCATTGACACACATGTGGAACGGAGCTTTGGGCCAAGAGCCAACTTTTGGTCCATTCTGTAAAGACGTTTTTGAGAGGTCTGCCAACGCTATATGTTAGCATTGGCCAATTCTTCTTCTGGGTCCACCCCCACAGGCCCGGGGTGGTATTGCAGCATGTCAGCGCACGTCATTTTGGCCACTTATGAGCTGGTACCCTCCCCCACTGCTTCCATTACATACGTCACGGTAAACTCAGATCCAATCGTTTCAATCTGCAAAAGGAGTTAACCCCTCCCACCTGTTAACGGAGCACCTCCAAACTAGGGATGGGCGATATGGCTGAAAACTATATCACAATATAAGTAATTTGAATCGGCCAATAACGATATATATTATCTTATTTTTATTACCTGAATAAATACGTTTTTCGTGTTGACTAACACACGTTAGCAGCCTTGTTTTACAGTCACGGGGAATGAGGCTAGAGGAATATGTGCACAAGCAGTCTCCCCCATAGTTAGTCCTGGTGTAATCCTGGTTTAGTCCTGGTTCATCTCCTGCTCGATTGATAGCCGCACGGAGGAAAAAGTTCATCTATTGCTTTCGCCGCATGCATCGAGTCTCCGTGTCCACTGCCTCTCCCGCGCCGCACATGCTATGCCTCGCACGCAAATGCATAACCATTGACACTGGATTGAAAAACAATCTTAGATCCATGGACGCAGTTGTTGTTTTTGCATTCCCCAGAATGTTTTGCAGTTCATATTTGGCTGTGATAGGTCGAGAAGCCTATGCCTACATCCCCCAGAATGCTGCGCGCTTCTGACTCTGCTTTATTCCTGTTTTTTCTGACGGAGTGAAGTTAAACTATCGAACATGCTCTACGACCACACCATAGTGACAGATTTACAGCTAAAACTGAGCGAGTATTACAGTGTTTCCAAGGAAGTTTTAAATAAATGTTTATTTAACCAAAAACTTGGACTTTGTATTGGTTTTGCGTATTTGTAAGGACAAATTTCTGGTCCGGACCAGTTGAGATCCAATTAGGCCCCCGGACCAAACTGGGTTTGACACCCCTGGTTTAGATCAATTTTATAGATTTACAATGTTCTTAATATGTAATAATGTCTCATAGTCGCCCCAAATATAACGGGAGACGTTCCGTAAACGCCCACTCCTTACTCCGGTGATAATCCAGGATACAAGTGGTCGACACATATTTACGCCGGTTATATGTTCATGTTTCTGTGCGGGTGCAAGTTTTACAAAAGTACGTGCGTTAACTCACTTTAAACTCCTCTTTGCTCGGCATGGATCCATTCACCATCAGTTTCCCTTTCTGCGCCTCCTCTCGCCTCCTCTTCACTTCTTCTAGATCTTTAGAGTCATCGCAGCGTCTCTTCTTCTCCCTTAGCTCCTCAACCTCTGCACGCCTCCTCTCCCTGAGCTCAACCTCTGCACGCTTCCTCTCCCGCACCTCCTCGACCTCTGCTTGAATGCGCTTCCTCTCCCGCACCTCCTCGACCTCTGCTTGAATGCGCTTCCTCTCCCGCACCTCCTCGACCTCTGCTTGAATGCGCTTCCTCTCCCGCACCTCCTCGACCTCTGCTTGAATGCGCTTCCTCTCCCGCACCTCCTCGACCTCTGCGCGCCTCCGCTCCCTGAGCTCCTCGACCTCCACCGGGGATCGTTTTTTTACTCGTGGATCCTTTTTGTCTTCCACACTTTTTGTTTTCCCAGGGACAGTCTTGGACATGGGTGAGGGGGCCTTGGGTTTGGGTTTGGCGTCGTCTGGGCGCACTGCTTTGGATTTGCTCTTCGAGGGGGAGGGCAGCAGTTCTTTGGAGACAGGCCGGTTCAGGCGGGGGTCTCGGATGCCAACTGGGGCTGGTGGAGCTGTCACTGGGGATGTAGACACTGGACCTTTGGCTTCAGGGGCAGGGCTCTGGGGAGGTTTCCAGGGCCGAATCACTGTGGCAGGGGGGACAATGGCCTTAGGGGGGAGTGATGGAGTGGAGGTGGGCAGCATGAAGCCTCCAGCCTGAAAACATGTTTAGGAACATGATGAGAACACAAATCTTACGACTCACCATACTGGGTGTATGGACTCTGGTCTTACCAGCTGGGCCTTGGTCTGCTCCAGCTCCAGCTCGATCTTCTTCTGCTGAAGTTCTAACAGTTGCTTTTGTTTGGCCAGGAGCTGCTGTCGGATGAGCTGCTCCTGTGTGACACTGGACACTGGGACAGGAGGGACCGGAGGTACAGGGGGTTCTGGGGCGACCACAGGCTGAGCCACCACAGCTGGAGTTTCATCGGACTGAAAAGACAAGAGATCAATACATTTGTAAACAAACTAGAGACATGAACAGATCAGATGTCCAAGAGTCGCAGCTCAGTCAGAGACCTGTGGGCTGTCTCGGGTGGGAGCGATAGGTCTGAATGCATCCTACACCTCTGGGTGAGGCAATTGGACTAACTCTTAATCTGTTGGAGTTACCTGCTTGAGGAACTTGGGGTTGACGTGTATGCTGGCAGTCGGGGGCAGGGGCTTGATGGGCCAGGCTGGGTCCACAGAGTTTACCCGCACGTCCAGTGCATACAGCTTCTTTGGGGGAAAGACCTCATCCCACGTGGAGCGCAGCTTAAACAGAGACTTCCTGGTGTTTTCATCCACCTGCCGAGACACAAGAAGTCTGGAACAACTCACTACAAAGATCTTTGCATAACAGCACGACCAGAGTTCTAAGTATTTACAGCATTATTTAGAGAAACTAGTTTGGGCTCAGATTCACTCTGGTTGGGAGTGTTTCCACCAGGCCTATTTAACCAGTACCAGGTCTTTAGTCCCACTTGGGCCTGATTCTATTCAGGTCAAGCTGGGACTAAAGTTTATTGGTCACCAAATAATTTCCCCAGATACTGGTTGGTTGTGGATCCGTTGCTAGGATAGATACCAGATAGGTAAAGTGGAAACAGGGCTATAACCTGAGGATTATTTAACGTGCAATAAGTTTGTAAACAGGGCATTTAGACAGAAGTGGAGGGGGTGCATGTGTGTTAGAAGTTCCCGCCGTTAGCAACGATGTCATCTCAGGACATGATTGTTTAAAAGGGACATTTTCTCAGCTTTGTTTTAAGTTTGAGTAATTCTCCCTCATGTACACTCAATCATGACGTCTTTGATTGCCGCCATCTTACTTTGTTTGAGCCTTTTCTGAATCTGTGATGCGCGGAGAATTCTGCAGCATTGCACAGGTGATTTTGCACCAAGCAGCGTACTATGCTAGTCACGGAAAACCCTGCTCCCTGCTCTAAAGACAAAGGACACTGGAGCGTACCTTCTCGAATACACATATAAAGGATGTGATTAGGTTTTTGGCAAACACCGGCAGGTAGTCTCGACCCACGTTCTTCACGATGGAATCCACCAAGTACAAAACGGGCAGCTTCTCGATGGCAGGCGCCTGGAGTGATAAGAAAACTCCACAAGGTTAGAACACAGCGCAGAAGCGCAAAAGCAGAGAGATAATAAACATGTTTTACCACCAGAATGAAGGCACTGACGTGGCTGCACCAACAACACGTTTTCAAAACTAACATGTGACCCAGCAGCCAGGCGACACATCACACTTTCTGTCCCTTAACACTGGTGAGATAAGCATGGGAATTACAACCCCCAATGCTGACCATTAGAGCAAGTTGGAACACCTAAGCTCACAAACTAAAAGTTTAAAAAGGCAGAAAGGATCCACAGCTCTATGAATAACGAGGTTGGTCTGATTCAGCACACAGCGTTCTGTGAGAGGAACCAGTTTAAACATTTTAGTCAGTTGGACAATGTCAGGGTCACCACATCGCCCAGCTTGTTTACGCCGTAAAGAGTTCTTAAACCAACTCCTCTCCCTGGAAGTTCTCCCAAAAGCTTTACCCTTTTCATAAGATAAAGATTTCCACTAGCATGCTACCGGCACCCTTCCTTTTGCAACACGCCAGGATTTCAGATCAGTTCAACGTTGTTGGTGCAGCGCAGCAGTGGAAACGCAAAACATAGTCATCTGAGCCCAAAACACAAGTTCAAAAAGGCTGAGTAGTGAAAAAACAAAAACATTTTTCTGCACTCGTGGTCTGCTCATCACCGTGGAGACGTGATGCTTAGATACCCCTCAGTGCGGCTTAGCCACAATATCCTTCTCTGATCAAAACCTTGACTCTCAGAGGACTCGCCTCTTCACAGATGTGTCTCAGAACTGACTAGCCAAACATTATCCTAAATGTACAAAGCAATAACGTCTCCATGGCAACAAAGGGTGGAAGACCGCTTCAAAAAGTAAAAAAAGACTTCTCTCCGATTTTTGACCCAGAGTAAAAAATGTAAATCCCGATCCATAAGCTGCGGTCGCCATCACTGCAGAAGTGAACACTCCTCGAGGTGGACGTGGAAAAGCCCAGATGTCCCGCAGCGTCTTCATGGTTACCTCCAAAGAGGGCAGAGCCTCTTTGTACGTTACCGCAGCGATAGCTCAGTTTTAACCCTTTGACATTAGCTGAAGTCACTTCTACAACCCACTTTGAAAATCACTAAAATGAACAAATGACAAAAAGCACAGTTCATATGTTTTATTACAGTTTCAGTTTAAATCACATTTGCAGATTTGTTCAAAACTAAAAAAGCGGAAAGTGGAAAAGCGGAGCAGGAGGAAAGCTCTGGAGCCGAGTCTGAAAAACCACCGCTCTGGTTCAGGATCAGAACCTTCTGAATACACCACAGTTGGACTTTAACACTGTTTAGTGAGCTCATGATAAATTATCATTGACCTTTTCACTTGCAGGATTCAGTCTTGGCTTAAAGCTGATGTCAACGACTTCATTGGGATTTAATTTAATCTACCCAATTGGGAGTGTTTCTACTAGTCTAATTTAACCAGTAGGTTCTTCTTTAGTCCCTCTGGGCCTTGATTCTATCCAGGCAGAGCTTGCACTAAAGTGTTCTAACCAACAGTGATAGCCAACGTGCTGCTGGAAGCCCAGATACTGGTTTGTTGTGGGTTGGTAGCTAGGATACAGAACCACACATTAACTTAATGGAAACAAATAGGTAGGGTAGAAATAAGTAGGGCCATGTAGAATAGAGCCGAGGAGGGCTGGTGGAAATGGGGCTATAAAACAGCAGTAAGCAATTAACAGAATCCAACTGCGGTAATGTTAATCACAATCACAGTTAAGACTGCGCCTGTTTCTCATGTTTACAATGTCCTAAATGATTCTAAAAAGGGAAAAACAAATGACAATAGTCCAATAGCCCTGGCCACCAGATTTATGATTTTGAGATCAATAGTTGTAGAGATGACAACACATTTTCACATTAAATCTACGTGCTTAACTGTCCTATTTCATTATATCCGTGCATTGCTATCAGTCTGCGCTGTATCACCCAGGACCACTCTCACACCAGGTTTAGAGTTCTTGTTGATTTGACATTTCTGTGACGCCGTCCTTTGCTGTTGTGATTTAGGTCGATACTTAGACTAGTTGTAATATTGTAATCATGTTTGCCTAGTCTGACCTCTATAGTGCCACATACTGAAGTTAATCTGTCAGCAGACACAGAATAACAACATGATTTCAAAGAAAAACATGAGTTCATGTCTTTCGTGTTATGTTACGTCAGAACCAAAGCGGTGGAAGTAGACTCCTTCGGCCCAGAATATTACTATTAACGTATGTTTTAGCCTCAACCCACTCAACACTATTAATGACTCTTTGGACGTGAAAGGCAAAGTGATTTTAAACTTTAATACACAGAATTAGATTGATATAATCAGCGTTATTAATTGAAACTAGGCAGCAAAACATGTGGCTAAATGCTAACAGGCTAACTGTAGCTGGTCGCCATGTTGAGCAGCGCGCGGGCCTCGCTAGGTTAGCTACATGGACACAAAAAGCCACTCAAATTGTGAAATATTCTATGTATAAAAACCTTGCTGATTTGAGCTTCAATAATGCCGACGATTTCCTTGGCGAAGGCGATGTTCTCCTCGGCCAGGATGGTGAGCATGTTGATGTGCGGTTTGCTGTTGAACGTTAGGTCTTCCAGGGACGATTCGTACTCGCGACACGCATCCTCCATTTTACTGCGGGAAAGTGCGCTTACAGAGCCCGGAACACAAGCCCTGATCACTGCGCAGTCCATGAACACATCGGGAGGTCGTAGTTCTGCGCCTCCGCGGGAGCAGAAGCGAGTTTCGTGGGTAAAAGCGGAGGAAAGACTCTGGAGCTCGTCCTTCCTCCTCGTTTGACGAAATCAAGATGGCGGCCGCGTCTCTGATGCTGGTTATGAAAGAGCTAGAGGGGCGCGTAGTCATGGCAACACGGCCAGAGCCACCATCTTTGTGTTGTGGGAATCAGAATATCATAATTATTTTTACATTGTAAGTAACAAGGATACTACTAGTAATGAAAGCTTCATAACATTTCTTAACATTCTATTATATACAGTGCGCACTAGGTACACACACTAACGTGCAGGTTAACGTGTCTACTGCACAGGAGTGAGCAGTAATAATAAAACAAGCAAAATATCAGAAACACACAAAAAGGCCACGTGGACTAGAATTATGTGGACCAGGCTCATTTTCTGTAACAAGAACATGGTCTATCCCTATTACTACTGTGCCTATCACACGACTATACGTGATTTTTTGTGAGAATTAGAATTTTCGGGGAACGCAAGATGGCCGCCACTGTCACGAGGATCCCAAGTGCGCTCTCGTTCCTGTAGGCGGGATCGAGAGCACACTGCCGCTGATTGGTCAAAGGAAAAGACGACGGCCAAAACAGCCAATCAGCACGGAGCAGGCGTAAATTTGAACATTACATAATAAAGACACGTGCAGGGGGCGGTGCTGATAGAGCTGTCACGATAACAAGTGACGGATGATATAGGTCGCAGAGATCATTGACACTATGAGTTTAGAAAACACAAATATAGAGTTTGAAGACATGACAGAGGCAAATTTAAATCAATGTATTTGTGGATCACTCTACATCACAACAGCAGTCGTCTCAAAGTACTTTACCTAATTGAGGAGTCACCAACAACAGATCAGAGTCATGGATTATAGAGTATCAAGATTTCAATACAGGAAATGCAGTAACAATAAACACATAGGAGCCATAGGTCCATATGGAGCAGGATAACCACTGTCCAGAAACGTAAATAAATGTGCCCATAGTTCCCACAGACCAATGAATGTCACATGACCTCCTCGGAGACGCCATCTTTGATGGCACGCTGCTGTGTTTGTGCATTCCATTAAACAGAAGAATGAGAATAAATGTAGATATTCAAACGCAAATTGGAAAAAAAGGGCAACTTTTGAGCAAATAATTGTATATTAATACAATGGCACCACAGTTTAACGTGCTACGGACATGTTTTACATATTTGATCAAATTATGCAGCAAAAATTAACAAGCAATGCAAACATTTCTCAAAAACTTTAGATTTAATACCAGTTGGAGCTCCATTTAATTATTTTAATTATATTAACAATTAATTTTAATTAATGCTAATGCCACACGGACACTCTGGATTGCTGTTATTGTTTATTTCCGCGTTTTTGACCGTATGTTTTGGTGAATGGTGGGCAACTGATTTTTCCAGGCGTAAAGAGCAGTTTATTTTATGACACAGATCTTTTTACAGAAGCAATGCTGTTTGTGAACATTGTTTTAGCCCACCATAGAACTATTATTATCTATTTAATACATTTACGTTGCCCTCGAGAGCCTCGGACGCGACACCGATCCTCCTCATAATAAAGTAATCTAACGCTAAATAATGAAACTCTCAAGTTACCAGATATCAGCATACACAAGTTAGTACTGAGTAAATTACGTCTGTCAACACATTATAAAGATACGATACGCACCTGACACAAAGTGCTCCGAGCATATTCTTGCGTGTTTTGAGGGAGTTTCTTGCCTGTTTATCTTCGCAAGCCATAACCTCCGTGGTTGTTCTGACAAAAGCTTAGTCTTCTCACATTCATGAAGTCTAATGATGGGTATACTGTAAAATCCAAGTTTAACGGAACCTCCGGCACGATTTGAACATCCATTGACCCAGCAGGAGATGACCATTTTCAACTTTATCACGACATTAACACGTTTCAGCTTCTTTTTCTATTGTTTTGCCCACAGCATGCCAACACAAATGTCGCCGGGTCGGCAAATCCCCGTATGTAGTGACGTCATGTGGGAACTATGTATTGGTCTTTCATTGAACTAGCGGGTTAGTATTTAGCCAGCAGGTTATCATCAAGCAATTATATGACTGATTGTCTCCTCATTAGAATTATCATTATACTTGTGAATGAAATATCCCGATGTAAACATTGCTGAACCAAATAAGCAGCTTTTATTTTTCTTTTCTTTTCATTCAACATTTAGAAACAGAACAGTGTTGTATGGCACTTTGTAAAAACATTCTCACATATTTCCTCTGGTTGTTTAAAAAGTGTGTGGATCATAAAATCTCATAATTTGCAGGTCAAAGTTCATATCAAATGGTTGTGTTTGGTTTCTTCACTTCCACAGGCGGTAAACTCCAAGAGCGACAGCGAGGCAGCCAAAAAGTGTGGCTGAAAACAGAGGAGAGAGATTAGAAAGGCACGGGGAGAAGCCCATTTGAACATAAGCTAGCTGGAGCCAAATTCCCTACATGGGCATTTCTTCACACTTTACATTTACAAAGATAATAACACAATATACACACCAGGATCACAGAGCAGTTAACCACTGATTTAAGCTCAAAATGGTGAATGTGACACAAACGGTTACTAAGCTAGAGGAGTTTACTTTTACATGTACAGTAAGTCAATAGGAGCCAAAGCGAGTTGGAGCCAAACTATGTCCATGATCACTTCCCTATTGGGCTTCTGTGAGCCAGCGGATGAGCATTGTCTATGGCTGGTACCCTGACCCCATGCATCTATTTAAATAACTGGATAGGGTATTACTAGCTTGGAGCTGAAGGACCCATGTGCTCGGGGGATTCTGGCGGTACTGCAGACTAAACCAGACTAAATTCACGTGGGCTACCCAGACATTTTCCCCATAGAACTCAATGTAAACTAAAACAGCTCGACCTCAGCTGACAGAGAACCTGACAGAGAACCTACAGCTTTCATAAAGATCGGATTTTGTGTGGATTTTAGTGTCCCTTGTTCTTTTCTGCTTAAAGAGCGACTAAACACCAAATCAACTTTTTTTAACTCATAAACGGCATAAGTATGTTTATTGTAGTGCTGTCTACATATCCTGGTCATTTTTTTGACATTTTAGTTCAAATTAAATAAAATATCACTTTTGAGCCAAAAAACGCTGTGTGGCGCCCTCTCAACCTTTTTGGTGGTACTACATTTGAATTTGGTTCTGGCCTCTCCATTGACTCTGAAGTTCTCTATGACATCAGTTGTTTTGTGTGACGTCAGTCTGTCAGAGCCAGTGATGTGAACCCATTCAACTCTCACACACGCCCCAGCTGCAGTTTGGAGTATTCTGGCGCCATCTAGTGGATTCAAATTAAATTACATGAGTCATTCTGAGATTATTGAGTGTGATTAGGTTCAGGTGTGTAGCTTTACAATTATCTTAGTGTGTAAACAAGGGTGGAATGAGACTTTCTGGTCTGTAAACTATTGCTTTAAGCAGCAATGACAACTGTCTGTTTTTTGTTGTTGTGACAAGTCAGCTGTCAATCACAGCCCAGACCACGCCCAACTCTAAGCCCCCCTTCTTGTCCCTTGATCCTCCAGGCAACGCCCTTTTTAGAGAAAATTTTCAAATCTTCAGGTGGGCGGAGTAAGGCTGGGCACAGGTGTTTAGTCGCTCTTTAAATCCTTCTGTTTTCTTTAAATCCACACTTTACTGCCACAAACCCGCTCTAACTCTGCTCTGATGAGCAGTTCTGATTGGTCAGAGCGCGGCCGAGCCCCTCTGTGCACGTGCGTGAGAGCCACACACGCGATTTGGCACAAAGCATCATGGGAGATCCTCCACTGCGCAGAACCGGGAGGACCAGACGATGCCCAAATACAGGCGAGTTTCCCATGGATCTTTGCGAGTTCCAGGCGAGTTCAGCTAATCTTTCGGCGCCCATGCCGGTGTGATGGCAAGCTGCCTAGCCTTGGGGACGCCAACTCACCCCCCCTGCTGCTCTATTCAATTAACCTGCAGGAAGGAGCCGGGCTCCCCCCCGCACCGACAGACAATGACGCAAATTACTGTCTCACCCTTGTCCCTTTTGCATCTTGCATCTGTATCGGTCCGTATGTCTGCATCTCTACATCCTGCATGTCTATTGTCTCTCTGTTTGCATCTCCATGGGACAGTCTGATTGTCTCTCCCCAGAGATGGCGCCTCGCCTCCGGATGCCCGTCTCAAACTGTGACCCCCTCCCATCTTTTGTGGGCGTGACTGTCTTTCATGTGTTGTCTATGTAAACAGGAACCTGCTCTGGCCGCGCCAGAGCTGATGTACGCTGCTTTGTGTATGTGAGCTCTCCGCACGTGTGTTACAATAAACTTACGCTCCTGATTAAGACAAATACCTTTTGAGCTTTTTCCTTACTGTGGATTGAAACTTCTATAACAATTTGGCGTTGCTGACATGTCTTGGCCTGGATCTTTTCGGCGGGGACGAGCGGCTGCGTTTTAACACCGGCACAATGCGCCACTGAGCACAAACATTCATTTGAATACGGCGACCATCTTGGATCGCCTGGATCGCTTGCCTGGCCCTCAGTACCCTGGGCCCCCTGCTGGTACCTGCCAGGTACCGCACCGTCTCCAGTTTGAGAGACTCCAGCAGAGTCTTCAGCGACGCCACCTCCAGGTCGATCTTCTTGTTGATCTCCATGTAGTCGTGGTCTAAATCAGACTTCTGCACAACACAAGGTTAAAGCTGGGGTATGTAAGTTTAACACCACAACACAGGTTTGAAGTTGGGGTTTGTGTGCTTCTGTGTGTGTGTGTGTGTGTGTGTGTGTGTGTGTGTGTTAAAGCCGTTGTCGTACCTTGGTGTGGAACTCAGTGTTGGCCTCCATCAGCTTTTTCTCTTGATCTGTGAACTGCAAACATGAGATGATGAAGCAGAGACTTTTGTACTGCTGCTACACTGACAGAAGGCATGTGTTGGAGGAGGAGTGAGAGGGGCAAGATGAGGACAAATGGGAAAGTAATGGTGGCGTATACATGAAAATAGTGATAAACATCAGGACAAGGGAAAGAGTATGAGACTGTTGTGCAGAAGGAGCAGTGTCTGCCGTCAGAGCTCTCACCAAGTCGGTCACTCTACTGATCTCCAGGTTGAAGTCCAGTTTAGCTTCAGATCGAACCCTCTGAGTCTCCTCCTAAAAGACACCAGGATGTAAACGAGTATGTAGACTCTGAGTATGTAGAGTATGTAGAGTGTAGAGAGTGTAGACGAGGTCTCACAGCGAGTCGTTGCTGAAGCTGCTCCAGCTCTCGCTTCATTTTCTGCAAAATAAAAAAAGAGACGGTCACGTGACACGTCCCGCCCACTCTCCTATATCCTGTTAGTGGCGTGTTAATATTCTGTGTTCTTTATTGTCCTCTTTTATCTATTATCTTAAAAAATGGATGCTGTTTGATGTTGCTCTTATTTCTTCTTTTCTTATATTCTGCTGTAATGTGCTTTGACAGTGAAATTTCCCCACTGTAGGCCGACAGTGGTCTATCATATCTTATCTTAACCTTTTAGCGTTTGCGCCTGTTAGTGGGTTGGCCTCGTGGATCTAATATAATCACTGGATAGGTTATAACTAGCTTATAGCTGTCCCACCCACGGGCACGGGGGGCACGCGCGGTACTGCAGACTAAAATTAACATTTTTTTTTGCGCGCTACTCATTTTCCATAAGACTCAATGTAAACTAAAACAGCTCTACCACAGCTGACAGAGTAAAGGTCAGATTTTGTGTAGAATTTAGTGTCCCTTGTCATCCTGAACTTTTTGTTGTTGTTAAATCCATCGGTTCTATAAATCCACACTTTAGTGTAACAAACTCGCCACTGAGCAAAAGCCATTGATTTGAATAGGGCACCATCTTCAATCACCAGGGCTTGGTTAGCCTGTTAGTGTGTTTGCCTGTTAGCATGTCCTTACCGTGTTCTCTGAACGCAGGTTAGCAAAGTCGCTCTTCTCCAGAATCACCATGTCTTTCCGTATAGAGTCCAGATGAGACATGATCTGCTGCAGAGCGATCTCCTGCAACACAACCTCCTTTTCAGACATTGATCTCAGTCCGGTCTCAGTCCTGGTCCTGGTGTGGTCCCAGTCCTGGTTCTTACCTGGTGTGGTTTGGTCACCATGTCTCTGTAAACCAGCTCCAGGTTTGTTGTGGTCAGAGTTACGAGCGCGGCGACGATCAGCTCAGCCTGAGACTTCTGAAATCCTAGAAGAGACCAAACCTGGCTCAGACCTGGCTCAGACCTGGCTCAGACCTGGCTCAGACCCGGCCCAGACCTGGCTCAGACCTGGCTCAGACCTGGCTCAGACCTGGCTCAGACCCGGCCCAGACCTGGCTCAGACCTGGCTCAGACCTGGCTCAGACCCGGCCCAGACCTGGCTCAGACCTGGCTCAGACCCGGCCCAGACCTGGCTCAGACCTGGCTCAGACCTGGCTCACACCTGGCTCAGACCTGGCTCAGACCTGGCTCAGACCTGGCTCAGACCTGGCTCAGACCTGGCTCAGTAACCATAACCTGTATAAAGATGGACAGTGTGCCTCTCTGGTTGCCATAATTACAGTGCGTATCTCTGGTTACCGTGGTTACAGCCTCTCTGGTTGCTGTACTTACAGTGTTTATCTCTGGTAGCTATGTTACAGCCTCTCTCATTTTGGTTGCCGTAGTTACCATTCCTCTCCAGCTCTGTGGCGACGGCGTGTGAGTTGAATGTCAGCTTCCTCTGCTCCAGCGGCTTCAGCTCCAAGCGCCGCAGATCAAAGGTCATGAGGCGGGACCCCACAACCCCGCCTGTCGGAGAAACTACAAACACAGAACGTGTCATAAATGTACAGGCTAAGTGTTTGCTTTTACTTCAGCTCCAAGTGTGATGTCATAATGTTAATTATTTGTGTTTCAATAAGGATTGACCAATCAGATGCCTTGATTTGCGGGGAAACTCCAGCTTGCCTTAGCAACCGTCTTAGCAACACATCTGCCCCTGTTACTCTGTCAAAACAAATGCCCATATAAGGAAATTGGTTCCTGCTAGCTTCAAATTGGCTTCATACATAGTAAGGCTAACACTGATATATTATCACCGTCTGGAACAGTCTGTGGTGATGTCACACTCTGTCAGTCCACTTCGAATAAAAGGATGGACCTGATGATAACCGTCCCTGGTCAGTCTCTCTTTCCCTAGTCTTTTTTGCTTGTCTCTCTGGTCTCTCTCTGGTTTCTCTCTGGTCTCTCTCTCTGGTCTCTCTCTCTGGTTTCTCTCTGGTCTCTCTCTCTGGTCTCTCTCTCTGGTCTCTCTCTCTGATCTCTCTCTGGTCTCTCTCTCTGGTCTCTCTCTCTGATCTCTCTCTGGTCTCTCTCTCTGATCTCTCTCTGGTCTCTCTCTCTGGTCTCTCTCTCTGGTTTCTCTCTGGTCTCTCTCTCTGGTCTCTCTCTCTGATCTCTCTCTGGTCTCTCTCTCTGATCTCTCTCTGGTCTCTCTCTCTGGTGTCTCTCTGGTCTCTCTCTGGTCTCTCTCTCTGGTCTCTCTCTGGTGTCTCTCTGGTCTCTCTCTGGTCTCTCTCTGGTCTCTCTCTCTGGTCTCTCTCTGGTCTCTCTCTGGTCTCTCTCTCTCTGGTCTCTCTCTGGTCTCTCTCTGGTCTCTCTCTCTGGTCTCTCTCTCTGGTCTCTCTGGTCAATACTTACATTTACACTGATAATAATGTAAACTGAATGAGCTCCATGAGACTTACCCGCGGAGCGCAGACAGTGGCGGCCGCAAAGACTCCCGAGAGTCCGGACACTACCGGGGGTCATGACAGGAGAGGGAGCAGCAGCAAGAGGCCAGGAGAACCCCAAAAACCCAAACCCCCCAAGACCAGAGACTGCGACGAGGAGACTAGAGACCGGGACCAGTGAACAGGACCGGAGAGACCAGTAGCAGAGACCGGGAACAACAAATGGAAACTAATCTATAACTCTTCCTGTGGTGCTTTGGCCCTTGGTTCACGGTGAAGGTGCGTGTACCGCCCCCTATTGGAGGAGGCTGATATCTCCCATGGATTCAAGTATAACACACGGCCCTCTATTTTTCACTTTTCTGTCTGAAAAAACTGATGTAAAGATGTGACAGACAGAAATACATGAAATTAGTGATGGAGGCAAATTGATTTGAGAAATAGGGAGTAGTGACAAGGACTTTATTACCAGAGAGACAAGAAAGAGACACCAGAAGGATCAGAAAGAAATCTAAAAGAGAGACATGCCCCACGCAGATGACACCACAATTTATTCATCACAAAAAACTATTGAAGAACTCAAAACTGTATTAATGAAACACTTAAAATGTGTTAATGAGTGGGTCAAAAACAATAAACTAGCGTTAAACATTAGCAAAACGAAAAGTATTGTGTTTGGAACCAGATGTATGCTGTTGGACGAGCCAAAATTAAATGTAACTGTTAACAATACAAGTGTGGAGCAAGTTCATGAGATCAAACTACTGGGAGTGGACATTGATAGTAGACTGTTATGGTCCAAACCATAGACTGTTATGGTCCAAACCATAGACTGTTATGGTCCAAACCATAGACTGTTATGGTCCAAACCATAGACTGTTATGGTCCAAACCATAGACTGTTATGGTCCAAACCATAGACTGTTATGGTCCAAACCATAGACTGTTATGGTCCAAACCATAGACTGTTATGGTCCAAACCATAGACTGTTATGGTCCAAACCATAGACTGTTATGGTCCAAATATACACGAGCACAGTAGCACAAAGAATGGGTCTGAGTCTGTCAATGGTTAGAAGATGCTCCCACCTCTTACCGCTCAACATGACAGCAGATGTCATAAAAACACTTGTTCTTTCACAGTTGGATTATTGTTCTGAAATTTGGTCGAGTGCTGCATTATCAAATATTAGGCAGTTACAAATACCGCGGTAAAGTGGCCCTGCATTTCGTCGGGAGCGGTAAAGAGGTCCGCACTTTGAATGCGGTTGGCTCTTTTATGCTGTTACTTACGGTAAATGTGGAAAGGGAAGCCGTGACGACGAGAAAGCTAAATGCTTTATCTTTTAAAAAATCATTTAAAAAGAACAAAAAGAGGTTTGCGAATACTTTCACTGCCCACTTGTTCAATAAGATGCTCTCTACCACTGTGTAAAATATCATTCACTTTTACTGTAGAAATCCAGAGAAAATGGGGGTCAAAGTGTGCACAAGTGGTCCCAAAAGCACTTTTTAAAATTCATTTTAAAAAAATCTAAAAAAGTTCCCTCACTACTTTCACTGCACACTTGTTCAACAGGATGCCCTCTACCACTGTGTAAAATATCATTCACTTTTACTGTGGAAATCCAGAGAAAATGGGGGTCAAAGTGTGCACAAGTGGTCCCAAAAGCACTTTTTAAAAATCATTTTAAAAAAACTAAAAAAGTTCCCTTACTACTTTCACTGCACATTTGTTCACTGGGATGCCCTTTACCACTGTGTAAAATATCATTCACTTTTACTGTAGAAATCCAGAGAAAATGGGGGTCAAAGTGTGCCATTTTGGTCCCAAAAGCACTTTTTAAAAATCATTTTAAAAAAATCTAAAAAAGTTCCCTGACTGATTTCACTGCAAACTTGTTCACTGGGATGCCCTCTACCACTGTGTAAAATATCATTCACTTTTACTGTAGAAATCCAGAGAAAATGGGGGTCAAAGTGTGCCATTTTGGTCCCAAAAGCACTTTTTAAAATTCATTTTAAAAAAAACTAAAAAAGTTCCCTCACTACTTTCACTGCACACTTGTTCACCAGGATGCCCTCTACCACTGTGTAAAATATCATTCACTTTTACTGTAGAAATCCAGAGAAAATGGGGGTCAAAGTGTGCCATTTTGGTCCCAAAAGCACTTTTTAAAATTAATTTTAAAAAAAAACTAAAAAAGTTCCCTGACTACTTTCACTGCACATTTGTTCACTGGGATGCCCTTTACCACTGTGTAAAATATCATTCACTTTTACTGTAGAAATCCAGAGAAAATGGGGGTCAAAGTGTGCCATTTTGGTCCCAAAAGCACTTTTTAAATTCATTTTAAAAAAATCTAAAAAAGTTCCCTCACTACTTTCACTGCACACTTGTTCACTGGGATGCCCTTTACCACTGTGTAAAATGTCATTCACTTTTACTGTAGAAATCCAGAGAAAATGGGGGTCAAAGTGTGCCATTTTGGTCCCAAAAGCACTTTTTAAAATTCATTTTAAAAAAAACTAAAAAAGTTCCCTCACTACTTTCACTGCACACTTGTTCACCAGGATGCCCTCTACCACTGTGTAAAATATCATTCACTTTTACTGTAGAAATCCAGAGAAAATGGGGGTCAAAGTATGCACAAGTGGTCCCAAAAGCACTTTTTAAAATTCATTTTAAAAAAATCTAAAAAAGTTCCCTGACTGATTTCACTGCACACTTGTTCAACAGGATGCCCTCTACCACTGTGTAAAATATCATTCACTTTTACTGTGGAAATCCAGAGAAAATGGGGGTCAAAGTGTGCACAAGTGGTCCCAAAAGCACTTTTTAAAAATCATTTTAAAAAAAACTAAAAAAGTTCCCTGACTACTTTCACTGCACATTTGTTCACTGGGATGCCCTTTACCACTGTGTAAAATATCATTCACTTTTACTGTAGAAATCCAGAGAAAATGGGGGTCAAAGTGTGCCATTTTGGTCCCAAAAGCACTTTTTAAAAATCATTTTAAAAAAATCTAAAAAAGTTCCCTGACTGATTTCACTGCAAACTTGTTCACTGGGATGCCCTCTACCACTGTGTAAAATATCATTCACTTTTACTGTAGAAATCCAGAGAAAATGGGGGTCAAAGTGTGCCATTTTGGTCCCAAAAGCACTTTTTAAAATTCATTTTAAAAAAGTCTAAAAAAGTTCCCTCACTACTTTCACTGCACACTTGTTCACTGGGATGCCCTTTACCACTGTGTAAAATGTCATTCACTTTTACTGTAGAAATCCAGAGAAAATGGGGGTCAAAGTGTGCCATTTTGGTCCGAAAAGCACTTTTTTAAAATTCATTTTAAAAAAAACTAAAAAAGTTCCCTCACTACTTTCACTGCACACTTGTTCACTGTGATGCCCTTTACCACTGTGTAAAATATCATTCACTTTTAATGTAGAAATCCAGAGAAAATGGGGGTCAAACTGTGCCATTTTGGTCCCAAAAGCACTTTTTAAAATTCATTTTAAAAAAATTTAAAAAAGTTCCCAGACTACTTTTACTGCACACTTGTTCACCAGGATGCCCTCTACCACTGTGTAAAATATCATTCACTTTTACTGTAGAAATCCAGAGAAAATGGGGGTCAAAGTGTGCCATTTTGGTCCCAAAAGCACTTTTTAAAAATAATTTTAAAAAAATCTAAAAAAGTTCCCTGACTGATTTTACTGCAAACTTGTTCACTGGGATGCCCTCTACCACTGTGTAAAATATCATTCACTTTTACTGTAGAAATCCGGAGAAAATGGGGGTCAAAGTGTGCACAAGTGGTCCCAAAAGCACTTTTTAAAATTCATTTTAAAAAAATCTAAAAAAGTTCCCTGACTAATTTCACTGCACACTTGTTCAACAGGATGCCATCTACCACTGTGTAAAATATCATTCACTTTTACTGTAGAAATCCAGAGAAAATGGGGGTCAAAGTGTGCACAAGTGGTCCCAAAAGCACTTTTTAAAATTCATTTTAAAAAAATCTAAAAAAGTTCCCAGACTACTTTCACTGCACACTTGTTCACCAGGATGCCCTCTACCACTGTGTAAAATATCATTCACTTTTACTGTAGAAATCCAGAGAAAATGGGGGTCAAAGTGTGCCATTTTGGTCCCAAAAGCACTTTTTAAAATTCATTTTCAAAAAAACTAAAAAAGTTCCCTCACTACTTTCACTGCACACTTGTTCACCAGGATGCCCTCTACCACTGTGTAAAATATCATTCACTTTTACTGTAGAAATCCAGAGAAAAATGGGGGTCAAAATGTGCCATTTTGGTCCCAAAAGCACTTTTTAAAATTAATTTTAAAAAAAACTAAAAAAGTTCCCTGACTACTTTCACTGCACATTTGTTCACTGGGATGCCCTTTACCACTGTGTAAAATATCATTCACTTTTACTGTAGAAATCCAGAGAAAATGGGGGTCAAAGTGTGCCATTTTGGTCCCAAAACTTTCACTGCACACTTGTTCAACAGGATGCCCTCTACCACTGTGTAAAATATCATTCACTTTTACTGTGGAAATCCAGAGAAAATGGGGGTCAAAGTGTGCACAAGTGGTCCCAAAAGCACTTTTTAAAAATCATTTTAAAAAAACTAAAAAAGTTCCCTTACTACTTTCACTGCACATTTGTTCACTGGGATGCCCTTTACCACTGTGTAAAATATCATTCACTTTTACTGTAGAAATCCAGAGAAAATGGGGGTCAAAGTGTGCCATTTTGGTCCCAAAAGCACTTTTTAAAAATCATTTTAAAAAAATCTAAAAAAGTTCCCTGACTGATTTCACTGCAAACTTGTTCACTGGGATGCCCTCTACCACTGTGTAAAATATCATTCACTTTTACTGTAGAAATCCAGAGAAAATGGGGGTCAAAGTGTGCCATTTTGGTCCCAAAAGCACTTTTTAAAATTCATTTTAAAAAAAACTAAAAAGTTCCCTCACTACTTTCACTGCACACTTGTTCACCAGGATGCCCTCTACCACTGTGTAAAATATCATTCACTTTTACTGTAGAAATCCAGAGAAAATGGGGG